AATGGAAAAAAATGGGGGAAGAATGACGAAAAATGGGGGAAAAACGGTAAAAAAATGGGGAAAATGCAAATAAAAAAGGGGGAATTGCGGTAAAAATGAAAGGAATTGAGGGTTTGGGGTGGAAATTCCCCAGAATTCCAGAGAAATCCCGGGAAATTGGGGAAAAATCCCGGGAAAATGGGAAAATCATGAAAAAATGGGAGAAAAATGGAAAAAAATGGGGGAAGAATGACGAAAAATGGGGGAAAAACGGTAAAAAAATGGGGAAAATGCAAATAAAAAAGGGGGAATTGCGGTAAAAATGAAAGGAATTGAGGGTTTGGGGTGGAAATTCCCCAGAATTCCAGAGAAATCCCGGGAAATTGGGGAAAAATCCCGGGAAAATGGGAAAATCATGAAAAAATGGGAGAAAAATGGAAAAAAATGGGGGAAGAATGACGAAAAATGGGGGAAAAACGGTAAAAAAATGGGGAAAATGGAGTAAAACATGAAGGGGAAATTGAAGGTTTGGGGTGAGCCACGTCCACCCTGAAATTCTAGAGAAATCCTGAGAAATTGGGGCAAAATCCTAGGAAAATGGGAAAAACAAAAAAAAAAGGGAGAAAAATGACAAAAATTGGGGGAAAAACGGTAAAAAAATGGGGAAAACGCAAATAAAAAAGGGGGAATTGCGGTAAAAAATGAAAGGAATTGAGGGTTTGGGGTGGAAGTTCCCCGGAATTCCAGAGAAATCCTGGGAAATTGCGGCAAAATCCTGGGAAAATGGGAAAATCCCCCCAAAAAAAGGGAGAAAAATGGAAAAAAATGGAGAGAAAAATGACCAAAAATGGGGGGAAAATGGTAAAAAAATGGGGAAAATGGAGTAAAACATGAAGGGGAAATTGAAGGTTTGGGGTGAGCCACGTCCACCCTGAAATTCTAGAGAAATCCTGAGAAATTGGGGCAAAATCCTAGGAAAATGGGAAAAACAAAAAAAAAAGGGAGAAAAATGACAAAAATTGGGGGAAAAACGGTAAAAAAATGGGGAAAACGCAAATAAAAAAGGGGGAATTGCGGTAAAAAATGAAAGGAATTGAGGGTTTGGGGTGGAAGTTCCCCGGAATTCCAGAGAAATCCTGGGAAATTGCGGCAAAATCCTGGGAAAATGGGAAAATCCCCCCAAAAAAAGGGAGAAAAATGGAAAAAAATGGAGAGAAAAATGACCAAAAATGGGGGGAAAATGGTAAAAAAATGGGGAAAATGGAGTAAAACATGAAGGGGAAATTGAAGGTTTGGGGTGAGCCACGTCCACCCTGAAATTCCAGAGAAATCCTGAGAAATTGGGGCAAAATCCTAGGAAAATGGGAAAAACAAAAAAAAAAGGGAGAAAAATGACAAAAATTGGGGGAAAAACGGTAAAAAAATGGGGAAAACACAAATAAAAAAGGGGGAATTGCGGTAAAAAATGAAAGGAATTGAGGATTTGGGGTGGAAGTTCCCCGGAATTCCAGAGAAAACCTGGGAAATTGGGGAAAAATCCCGGGAAAATGGGAAAATCATGAAAAAAAGGGAGAAAAATGGAAAAAAATGGAGAGAAAAATGACCAAAAATGGGGGGAAAATGGTAAAAAAACGGGGAAAATGGAGTAAAACATGAAGGGGAAATTGAGGGTTTGGGGTGAGCCACGTCCACCCTGGAATTCCAGAGAAATCCTGGAGAAACTGGGGAAAAATCCTGGGAAAATGGGAAAATCCCCAAAAAAATGGGGAGGAAAATAAAAATAAATGGGGAAAAACGGTAAAAAAATGGGGAAAACGCAAATAAAAAAGGGGGAATTGCGGTAAAAAATGAAAGGAATTGAGGGTTTGGGGTGGAAATTCCCCGGAATTCCAGAGAAATCCCGGGAAATTGGGAGAAATCTGGGGGGAAACTGAGAAATCCACGAAAAAACGGTGAAAATGTAAAATAAAAATGTGGGGGAAATGGTAAAAAACGGGGAAAATGCAAATAAAAAACTCGGGAATGGAGAATTTGGGAAAGAAGAGGGAATTGGAGCAGGATTTGGGGAATTTTTGGGGATTTTGGGGAATTTTGGGGGATTTGGGGGATTTTTTGGCAATTTTGGAGAAATTTTTGGGATTTTGGGGGACTTTTTGGGGATTTCGGGGAATTTTTTGGGATTTTGGGGGACTTTTGGGGAATTTGGGGGAATTTTGGGGATTTCGGGGATTTTGGGGAATTTTGGGGGATTTTTGGGGAACTTTTGGGGTGTTTTGAGTGGATTTTTGGGTTGTTTTGGGTGTTGTTTTGAGGGGTGTTTATGGGAGGTTTTTGGTGTTTTTTGGGTGGTTTTGGGGTGTTTTTGAGGTTTTGGGGCTGTTTTGGAGGTTTTTGGGGTGGTTTTGGGGGTTTTGAGTTGTTTTTGGGGTTTTGGGGGTGGATTTGGGGTGGTTTTGGGCTGGTTTTGGGGTGGTTTGGAGGTTTTTGGGGTGGTTTGGGGGGTTTTGGAGAGTTTTCAGGTGTTTTTGGGCTGTTTTTGGGGTGTGGTTGGAGCCGTTTCTGGGGTTTTTTTGGGGTGGTTTTGGAGCTTTTTCTGGGGCGTTTTGGGACTGGTTTTGGGGTGGTTTTGGGGTGGTTTTGGGGCAGTTTCTGGGGTTTTTGGGTGGTTTCTGGGGTTCTGGGACGATTTTTGGGGTGGTTTTATGGTGGTTTTGGGGTGCGGTTGGAGCAGTTCCTGGGTTTTTTCGGGGTGGTTTTGGAGCTGTTTTTTGGGGTTTTGGGGGTGTTTTTTTGGGTGGTTTTTGGATGGTTTTTGGGCTGGTTTTGGGGAGGATTTGGGGTTTTTGGGGTGTTCTCAGGTGTTTTGGGGTGGTTTTTGGGGCTGATTTTGGGGATGATTTTAGGGTGGATTTGGGGTGGATTTGGGGCTTTTGGGGTGGTTTTGGAGCAGTTTCTGGGTTTTTTTTTGGTGATTTTGGGGTGATTTAGGGGTGGATTTGGGGCTGATTTTGGGGTGTTTCTGTTCTGGTTTTGGGTGGTTTTGGAGCTTTCTCTGGGGGTTTTGGGGATGGGGTTGGAGCTGTTTCTGGGGGTTTTTTTGGGTGGATTTGGGGTGTTTTTGGGGTGCTTTTGAGTTTTTTTGGGGTGTTTTTGGGGTGTTTTTGGGTCCCCCCTCACCAGCGCAGGGGCAGCCTCCGCACGCTCTCGGCTCCCCCCCGGCAGACGCTGCACTCGAAGACGTAAAACCTGCAAAGGAACCCCAAAATTACCCCAAAATCACCCAAAAATTACCCCAAAATCCATCCCTGAATCACCCCAAAATTACCCCAAAATCACCTCAAAATCCAAACCAAAATCACCCCAAAATCACCCTAAAATTACCCCAAAATCCATCCCTGAATCACCTCAAATTCAGCCCAAAATCACCTCAAAATCACCTCAAAATCCATCCGAAATCACCCCCAAATTCACCCCAAAATCACCCCAAATTCCCCCCCAAAATCACCTCAAAATCACCTCAAAATCCATCCCAAATCACCCCCAAATTCACCCCAAAATCACCTCAAAATCACCTCAAAATCCATCCCAAATCACCCCCAAATTCACCCCAAAATCACCCCAAATTCAGCCCAAAATCACCTCAAAATTACCTCAAAATCCATCCCAAATCACCCCCAAATTCACCCCAAAATCACCCCAAAATCACCTCAAAATCCATCCCAAATCACCCCAAATTCACCCCAAAATCACCCCAAAATTACCCCAAAATCCATCCCTGAATCACCCCAAATTCACCCCAAAATCACCTCAAAATTACCCCAAAATCCATCCCAAATTCAGCCCAAATTCACCCCAAATTCACCCCAAAATTACCCCAAAATCCATCCCAAATTCAGCCCAAATTCAGCCCAAATTCACCCCAAAATTACCCCAAAATCCATCCCAAATTCAGCCCAAATTACCCCAAAATCCATCCCAAATTCAGCCCAAAATTACCCCAAAATTGCAGGAAAAAACCCCCCAAAGTAACGGGAAAAAAACCCCAAAAAATCAGGAAAAAAATTCCCAAACCCCCCAAAAACTGGGAAAATTCCCCAAAATCGCCTAAAATAACGGGAAAAACACCAAAGCTTCCCAAAATAAAGGGAAAAATCCCCCAAATCCACCCAAAATAACATTAAAAAAATCCAAAATCATGGGAAAAAGCCTCAAAAAATCAGGAAAAATTCCCAAATTCCCCAAAAACTGGGAAAAATCCCATAAATCCCCGAAAAAAATCGGGAAATATCCCAAAAACCCTCCCAAAATAACATAAAAAACTCCAAAATCACGGGAGAAAGCCCCAAAAAATTGGGAAAAAAATCCTGAAAATTCCCCAATAATCATGAAAAATCCCAAAATTCCCCCAAAATCCCAAGAAACCAGGAAAAAAATCCCAAAAATCGGGAAAAATCCCAAAAACCCTCCCAAAATAATATTAAAAAAAATCCCAAAATAATGGAAAAAAAAAAAAAAGCCAAAATCATGGGAAAAAGCCCCAAAAAAATCAGGAAAAAAATCCCCAAATTCCCTCAAAATTCCCTAAAAACCGGGAAAAATTCCCTAAAACCCCAAAATAATGAGAAAATCCCAAATGCCCCCAAAAAATCAGGAAAAAATCCCCAAAGTAACATTAAAATGTCCCAAAATCACAGGAAAAAGCCCCAAAAATCGGGGGAAAAAAATCCTGAAAATTCTCCAAAAATCAGGAAAAATTCCCCAAAATCGGGAAAAAATCCCAAAATTCCCCAAAAATCAGGAAAAATTCCCCAAAAATCGGGAAAAATTCCCAAAATTACCCAAAAATCAGGAAAAATTCCCCAAAAATCGGGAAAAATTCCCCCAAAATCGGGAAAAATTCCCAAAATTCCCCAAAAATCAGGAAAAATTCTCCAAAAATCGGGAAAAATTCCCAAAATTCCCCAAAAATCAGGAAAAATTCCCCAAAAATCGGGAAAAATTCCCAAAATTCCCCCAAAACCGGGAAAAATTCCCTAAAAACTCCCAAATAATGGGAAAAATCCCCAACCCCGCCCCCCAAAAATCGGGAAAAATCCCCAAAATAACGTCGAAAAATCCCAAAATCACAGGAAAAAAGCCCCAAAAATCGGGGAAAAAAAATCCTGAAAATTCCCCAAAAATCAGGAAAAATTCCCCAAAATCGGGAAAAAATCCCAAAATTCCCCAAAAATCAGGAAAAATTCCCCAAAAATCGGGAAAAATTCCCAAAATTACCCAAAAATCAGGAAAAATTCCCCAAAAATCGGGAAAAATTCCCCCAAAATCGGGAAAAATTCCCAAAATTCCCCAAAAATCAGGAAAAATTCTCCAAAAATCGGGAAAAATTCCCAAAATTCCCCAAAAATCAGGAAAAATTCCCCAAAAATCGGGAAAAATTCCCAAAATTCCCCAAAAATCAGGAAAAATTCCCCAAAAATCGGGAAAAATTCCCAAAATTCCCCCAAAACCGGGAAAAATTCCCTAAAAACTCCCAAATAATGGGAAAAATCCCCAACCCCGCCCCCCAAAAATCGGGAAAAATCCCCAAAATAACGTCGAAAAATCCCAAAATCACAGGAAAAAAGCCCCAAAAATTGGGGAAAAAAATCCTGAAAATTCCCCAAAAATCAGGAAAAATTCCCCAAAAATCGGGAAAAATTCCCAAAATTCCCCAAAACTTGGGAAAATTCCCCCAAACCCCCCCAAAATTCTGGCAAGGCCCCGGGGGCGTCACCTGTCGCCGTAGAGCAGCGGCTTGGAGAGGCACTGGGTGCAGGCCTCGTGGAACCACTGCCAGCAGCGGCAGCACTGCAGCATCTTCAGGTTCCAGCTGGAACGGAATTCGGGAATTCTGGGAATTCTGGGAATTCTGGGAATTCTGGGAATTTTTTTGGATTTTTTGGGGATTTTTTGGGGAATTTTTGGGGAATTTTGGGGGGATTTTGGGTGATTTTGGGGAGATTTTAAGGGGATTTTGGGAGGTTTGGAGGAGTGGATTGGCAGCACTGCAGCAACTTCAGGTTCCAGCTGGAACGGAATTCAGGAATTCTGGGAATTCTGGGAATTTTGGGAATTTTTTTGGATTTTTTTTGGGTTTTTTTGGGAATTTTAGGGGGATTCAGGGGGGTTTGGGGCGGATTTAAAGGGATTTTAAGGGGATTTTGGGGGTGTTTGGAGGAGTGGATTGGCAGCACTGCAGCAACTTCAGGTTCCAGCTGGAACGGAATTCGGGAATTCTGGGAATTCTGGGAATTCTGGGAATTTTTTTGGATTTTTTGGGGATTTTTTGGGGAATTTTTTGGGAATTTTTGGGGAATTTTGGGGGGTTTTAGAGGGATTTTAAGGGGATTTTGGGAGGTTTGGAGGAGTGGATTGGCAGCGCTGCAGCAACTTCAGGTTCCAGGTGGAACGGAATTTGGGAATTCTGGGAATTCTGGGAATTCTGGGAATTTTTTTTGATTTTTTGGGGATTTTTTGGGGAATTTTTTGGGAATTTTGGGGGGATTTTGGGTGATTTTGGGGGGATTTTAAGGGGATTTTGGGAGGTTTGGAGGAGTGGATTGGCAGCACTGCAGCAACTTCAGGTTCCAGCTGGAACGGAATTCAGGAATTCTGGGAATTCTGGGAATTTTGGGAATTTTTTTGGAATTTTTTGGGGAATTTTTTTGGAATTTTTTTGTGAATTTTGGGGGGTTTTAGAGGGATTTTAAGGGGATTTTGGGAGGTTTGGAGGAGTGGATTGGCAGCACTGGGAGCAACTTCAGGATCCAGCTGGGAATGAAATTCTGGGAATTTTTTGGGAATTTGGGGATTTTTTTTTCAGGAATTCCGGGAATCCCGGGAATTTTGGGAATGTGACTCACTGCAGTCTCAGGGGCAGCGCTGGAGCTCGGGCAGGAGCGAAATTTGGGGCCATTTTTGGGGTTTTAGGGCAATTTTGGGGCCATTTTTGGGCGATTTCAGCTGGGATTTCTTTGGGAACGGCCAGATTTTTTCAGGAATTCCGGGAATTCCGGGAATTTTGGGAATGTGACTCACTGCAGTCTCAGGGGCAGCGCTGGAGCTCGGGCAGGAGGGAATTTGGGGCCGTTTTGGGGTTTCGAGGCCGTTTTTGGGGCGATTTCGCCCCGGATTTCTTTGGGAACGGCCGGATTTTCTCGGGATTTTTTTGGGAATTTTTTTGGGATTCAGGAATTCCGGGAATTCCGGGAATTTTGGGAATGTGACTCACTGTCCGGGCCCGCCGCAGTAGCAGTAGCAGTGCTGGAGGTTGTGCAGGTGCGGGGGGTCCCAGTCCAGGGCCCCGAGCGCGTACGGCAGCGCCGACTTCATCCGCAGCATCGCCCGCGCCTGCGGGCCCCGCCGGAGCGCGCCCCCGCGCTGGGAAAACACCGGGAAAAACAGCGGGAAAAAATGGGGAAAAAA